TCAAATTGTGACATAAACATTAAGTAATAAAAGTATGAAGTTTCAGACTTGCAGAAATACCAAAACTGATGATAATATTGGATTAGGAAAAGCAGATACCACTACACTGTCCACAACTAAGTAGTGAATGCAGGTATGAACACGTTGAATTCACTAAAACAGATGACCTCTTGAAACCCCTTGACTTAAAAAGAAACTGCATCCAAAAGTTCAGCCAAATTGTATCTTATTTCTCTTAGAGCTAACTCTGCTTCAACTTCCCTTGCAATGGCATCCAACTCAGCCATCCATTCATTCATCTTCTTTCCAGCTAGAAGCATGGTCTCCGTACACATTGTCTCTAGTGATTCAGATGGCAATAAAACAGATATTCTTTCCTTTTGGATTGAATTAGCATCCATTTCACGGTTAAAAGCCATAAGCGCCTCATCCTCGGTGTAGAAATTTTTCTTATATATAAATCGGTATTTCGGTATACTGAAATTTCAGAATTTTAATACCGAGGACCGTACCGAAATACCAAAATACCGAAATTGCAATACCGAATTAGACCGAAATACAGAAAAAAATCGAAACCGAAATACCGAATTAATTCGGTCCGGTTCGGAATTCGGTTTTTCGGATTTTATGCTCACCCCTACTTGAAAGAGTATGAGTGGCAACATCAGTGGAAAGAGGTGGATGATCTCCTGACAGGTACAAGGTACAGGATAAGGCCTTGGTCTAAAAATAGCAGAGTTTTATGTTCTACTGTAGAGTGTCACTGAACCAGAGAAAAGCTTCATAGCATAATCTGTAATCTCCTTCGTTTCATATCTAACACAGCTACTGCAAATATCGCGAGTATCATTCTCTAGCTAGAAATGGTGCAACCACAGTGTTAGAACACTGTATATCAACTTGGATCTTCGTTGCTATCTCTTAGTCCTTTTTATTAAGGTTATCTATAACCTCATGCGATCTGTTTGATACCTTACTTTTGCAAAAAAGGGAGAACCTTACTTTTGCAAAAAAGGGAGAAGGAGAAGTTTGAGAAAGAAGAGGCGGATATAACTTTGAGGAGGAGAAGGAGGAGAAAGGGGGCTGAAGTTGTTTAAAAAGTGGGTACAAGTTAAATGTTTTAAAAAAAATAGGTATAGGTTAAATGAGGGCAACCAAATAGGGCGCCCCGTGCAATTTTTACTACCAAACAGGCTATTAGCATTAATCAAATTAAACCTATTAAAATAAGGCAGTTTATTAAGTGATTCGAGTTGATTTAATTAAGTTAACCTCTGCAGTTTTCCAATTATCCCTACATAAACTTAAAAGGGAAGTGAAGATTCTATACTGATAGATTACCATAGTTAAAAATGGTAAGTTGAATTTGCAGTGTGGTCACTTATATAGTAATGGACGTTAATTGACTAGTTCTGTAATGATGAGGTGCAATGGTAATATTAATCAGTGGGTATGATCAATATTTCGATCCTGTCAACAACAAATTTGTAAGACGATTCAAAATATGATCTATGAGACGCGTAAAGCGTTATATATTTTTGGTTGGGTGTTCGAACGAAATAAAATTGATAAGAAAAAGAAATTATATACGATAAAGTTTTGAATTAATTACTGTTACTGGTGTCGTGTTTTCTGAAGGAAAAAAAATGCAAAGTTGATCAAGTGCAAATATTCAATTAATATTACACTATTTTAAAAAGCGTTGCGACTGTGAAGAGATTATACAAGTATATATTGGAAGGGAATAATATTGAATTCGAACTGAATTGTGATTTCTTAGTTGTTAGATTACTGTACCGCTAGCTGCACAATAGTTTTTTGTTTTTTATTAAAGCCGCCTTGGCAGTAGGTTTAGTCGGGCATTTGCATCTATACTCACTTTTTGTGTCACGTTTTAACTTGTGTCCACTTTGGAAAAAAAATTGCAACCATACCCACTTTTTCGCATAACTTCAGCATACGGGGCTGAAGTAGCAAAGGCAATCGCGCAAAACTTCAGCATTCTAGTAGCCGGGCTTGAAGTTCAGCTCTAGAGCTGAGGTTTTTGTTTTGTAACTGTCGAACTTCAGTTCTAGAGCTAAAGTTTTTGTTTGTAACTGGCGAAGTTTTTGTTTGTAAGCTTCAGCTCTAGAGCTGAAGTTTTTATTTTTTAACTATCGAACTTAGCTCTAGAGCTGAAGTTTTTGTTTGTAAGCTTCATCTCTAGAGCTGAAGTTTTTATTTTTTAACTATCGAACTTCAGCTCTTTGTTTTTTAACTATCGAACTTCAGCTCTAGAACTTAAGTTTTTGTTTGTAAGCTTCAGCTCTAGAGCTGGAGTTTTTGTTTGTAGCTTCAGCTCTAGAGCTGAAGTTTTTATTTTTTAACTAACGAACTTCAGCTCTAGAGCTGAAGTTTTTGTTTGTACTATCGAAGTTTTTGTTTGTAGCTTCAGCTCTAGAGCTGAAGTTTTGTTTTGTAACTGTCGAACTTCAGCTTTAGAGCTGAAGTTTTTGTTTTGTAACTGTCGAACTTCAGCTTTAGAGCTGAAGTTTTTGTTTTGTAACTGTCGAACTTCAGCTCTAGAGCTGAATTTTTTTCTGGAAAAATAAGCTTTTTATGTTATCGTCCGCTTTAAATATATGAAATTGGAGTCTAACGGATACTTGAAAGTGTATGAGTGGCAACATCAGTGGAAAGAGGTGGATGATCTCCTGACAGGTACAAGGTACAGGATAAGGCCTTGGTCTAGAAATAGCAGAGTTTTATGTTCTACTGTAGAGTGTCACTGAACCAGAGAAAAGCTTCATAGCATAATCTGTAATCTCCTTCATCTCATATCTAACACAACTACTGCAAATATCTCGTGTATCATTCTCTAGCTAGAAATGGTGCAACCACAGTGTTAGAACACTGTATATCAACTAGGATCTTCGTTGCTATCTCTTAGTCCATTTTATTAAGGATTATCTATGACCTCATGCGATCTCTTTGATACCTTTTACTTTTGCAGAAAAGAGAGAAGGAGAAGTTTGAGAAAGAAGAGGCGGATATAACTTTGAGGAGGAGAAGGAGGAGAGAGGGGGCTGAAGTTGTTTAAAAAGTGGGTACAAGTTAAAAGTTTTAAAAAAAATGGGTATAGGTTAAATGGAGGCGACCAAATAGGGCGCCCCGTGCAATTTTTACGGTTTAGCTAGAGCTGTCAAAATGGGCAAGCCCACCCCAGCCCAACCTAAGCCTCGCGGGCTTTTAAATTTGGTGGGCTAGGACTGATCGGCCCGCCACATAAATGGGCCTTAAAATGGCCAGTCCAACCCAGCCCTAAGAGGGCCGTGGGCTAGGGCGGGCCGACCCTTCAATTTGTTTTTTTTTAAAAAGAATTTCTTTAAATCCTTAAATATTTTATCGTGACATAGTCGATTAATCATGTAAACAACTTCTGTTTTGGTTAGAGCGTATAAAAATCTTGATATTTGACGAGATATCTTGTTATTGAAATGTAAACTCTCTATATCTCTAGCTCTTCTTCTTTAAAGTTACATGCATATTCTCTTAATACTCTTCTTTCATTTTCCTCTGATTCAGGGATTGATTCAATAAGTTTATATGCTGAAGTTTTTTAATATAGGATTAACACAATTTGCTGATTTCATCATTGTAGTCCACAAAATTTTTAAAACTCCTGAAATTTGCTAGTGGTAATTTTTTTTTGTATTTAAAATTGATCTTTTTTCTATACTGAAGAGCGGTTTAAATATTAATAATATATTAAAATAATCCAAACTAATCATTGGCCACTTAAAGTAATATTTTCTTTTGAAAAAAAAATATTATTGGTCACCTAAAACTTTTTGAGTTCGTTATTAATTAAGAAAAAGAAAAACTAATTTTGTCATATTACATGCATGTCAAAAATCTAAATTCTAGTTAATATAGAAGGGTAGATGAGCAATCTAGGATTAGAAAATGGGATTTATAGTTAATAGCTTTTTAGTTTTATTGAATATTAAATATTTAATAGTTAATTAATTTTTGGCCCACGGGCCGGCCCAGGCCCAACTTCGATCAAGCCTTAAGGGCCATCGGACTGACTTGGGCCGGGCTTATAAGCCTCAGTTTTAAATGGGCTTAAAAAATCCTAACCCAACCTTACCTAAGTAGCGGACTGGATTGAGCTGACTTTACGGGCCAAGACCATTTTGACGGCTCTAGGTTTAGCATCGACCCCTTAGCAACTGCTGCGCAGTCGTTAATGCTCGAGAATGACACAATCGAACAAAAGGAAAAAAAAAAAAAAAAAAAAAAAAAAGTTTTTTGTCCCTTTTATCAAGTGTCAAATGTCATTACCAAGAATTATGATGGGATGGATAAGATTCTTCTATTTTTAATTAAATACATAGAGTTTGAGCTCTAAAATGGAAAAAAATAATTATAGTAAAAAGCGATTATCCCTTTGATAGATCGTATGCGGCTAGAATCCAAATTAATCGGAATGAACGACAGACAAGAAACAAAACAAATGGTGTCAATTGTCAAAAGCTGTTGGTGGAGCTGCTGACCTAAAGACTCTTTTTTGTTAGAAAGGCATTACTAATAACTTTACCTTAATCATCTAACAATTTGCGCTGCTACCAAAAGAGGTGGTTATAAGCTCCTTCTCATCCTAAGTACATTATTGATCTCAGGCTAATATTTAATTTTGCACTATAAAATTGTTTAGAAGTCCCAATACAGGTGTACAACAACCACAACAGCCCAGTAAAAATTTTATTAGTGGAATCTGAGAAGAATAAAGTGTAAGCAGACCTTATCCCTACCCCAAAGGAATAGAAAGGTTGTTTCCGGAAGACTATCGGCTCATAGATAAAAGATCCGTAACAATAACAAAAACCAAACAAATAATATCAGCACTGATTTGTCCGTCACGCCGGAGCCGGCGTAATAAAGTGGACCTAGATTTCCATAGTACTCACCTAATGCTATATCACAAAGACCATCATGGGTCCTAGAGAGGATGGGACTTGACCCTTTCAAGTTAATTTATTATTATACAAAAATATTACAAGACTGCTTATAATAATTGAGATTAACAGTCTAAAAACAAATACTAATATTCTAAAACATATTAAATTACATATATCAATAATTTAGAAGTTTCATTATACTATTAGTAGTTATCAGCTAAGTGCTGTGGTTTTCGTTGATATCTTTATAAGATGACTCCAACAGTATATTGTGAATTCTTTGTGTTGTTATCTCCATTTGGGATTCTGTACTTGTCGATGATCCTTCTTCCCTCCGTTTCTTGTACGCCTCAAAGAACTCTTTGTTCTCCTTCTCCAACTCCTTCCACACTGTTATATAACAACTAAATAAACTGTACATTCACAACTCAAGTCTTCTAAATAATTACACCACTAAAAGTAGTAACGAGAATCCCTCCACCCTTAATCAAAGGTTTCAGGTAAGTGCTCAAAGGCGAATTTAGAAATTTGAAAAGATAGGTGCACTATTATGCAGGATATTAATTTTACTGGTTCAATATTTAGTTCTTATTATCGCACACATTATACTTTTTTGAAATTATTTTTCAATTTTTTAATAGTAATTTTCTTATATTTATATTTATACTCTATGCAGAAAATATTGGGATCAGTTGAAGCCATTAATTATATGCTATATCATCCACTGCTATTAATTTTAATATATACATTTCATTTAATTATATAAGATTTTACAATGACAAAAAAAGTTTAGGAGTTCCAATATGTGAAAATTATGAAAGAATAAGCCAAAAAAAGAAAAAGTACTTAATTAATATGAAAAAGCTACACGAGACATGCTTATCTCCTATAGGCACCTAGTTCTAGAAAAACAACAAGATAAAAATCACAGAGGTGCACCAAATAATATTGCATCCTATGATACTTTGAGCTAGGGTGCACATATGTGTACATACTATATATATATATATATATATATATATATCATCCAAAGCATGAGTGCGCGTGCCCCATAAAACCCCCTAAATATGCCCTTGAAAGTGCTCCTCTTTTAATGGAATTTACGCGATGTGAATAAGAATTAGTCTAGCCTAGGGGTGGCAAACGGTTAGGTCGGGTCAGATTGGGTCGGATATGAGCATGTCAAAATGGTAATACAAAAAACATAGATAAACTTTTAAAAGAATTCCTAGTCCCTCAAACTTAGAAACCCCCAATTTGAGCCTTTAGAAATGTAAAAGTTAAACTCATTAGTTATCCAATTTACTAAATGGATAATATAATTCTTATTCATATTTGATCAGTTTTAAAAAAATTCAGTATTCAACCAATTTTTAATGAATAATAAAGATAATTTCTTTTTAACCATTTTGCTAACACTGGTCTAGCCTAACATAACAAGTTCACTATTCTAGTACTTTTAAAAGAATAGTAGAAAATTTAGAATCATTGTTATGTTTCTACTTTGTACTTACGTGGAGGACACTGCTATAAAAAGCTGTGTACTGTAAAACATAATTGGTTGCGAGGGCGGTTGTTGTTTTGGCAGTAAGCCGATTTAATAAAAAAGTCACGGGTTCAGAATATTCATGACTTCTATTCAAAATTAAACTATGGATGTAGGTGAAAAATAAGTATAGATATAATTAATAACACCTTGTGTGTGGGGTTATAATACTTTTAAATTTTGTAATTTCGTATATGTCTTAACTTAACGTTTATAGTGTTATAAAACCTTAGATGAAATGCAAAATTTAAAATTAAATTATAAAAATATACTACTCCATCTAGATGGTAAGGGAAAGAAGAAAGTTGGGAATTTAATAGGAAAAAGTGGGGAGAATATCTGCTAAGCCCACTTGAATTGACAATTATGTTTCTATCCACGTTTCATACATGATGCATGCACTCGCATATGTGTTTCACTCTACTATTTGAGAATAAGAAAGTGATGATTTAATATAAAATTAATCTCGCATAACCTACCCGATTAGTAAATTAAAAATACGAAAAACTCATAATTAAAGCGTGTAGACTAACCTTTTTCTGCGTTTTTTATAAGTCATAAATGTTCTTAGCTCATCAAGAAAATAAAAACTTACAGATCGAATAATTGCTGAAGATGTAAGTCTAGCTATATGTTGGAAAAAACAAACTAGCGTCTAGATGGATTTTTACTGTTTAATTTCATCTGTTTTAGTCTGCATTTTCATTGTTCATTTCATGTTCATGTTCCATGTCAATCTACTTGAGTACGATACTGAAAATCAGATAGTGAGAATCTATGTTGCATGGACTCTCCAAACTACTGTCGTATCTCTACAGATCCTTCAAAAAATACATTATTCTTAAAAGATCCGACACACATTCGATAATATTTTTAAAGAGTCCGAGCTAGTAACATAGGTAAAAATAAGCAAAAGAAAGAGAAAAAAAAAGTAAGAGAAGTGAAGGTTGGATCGGATTTACCCGTGGAAGTGATAACTGGCTGTATATTTGCATGTTTGGAGAGTGCTTTCATGCATTCCTCTCTGCTCATGTTGAATAACAGACACTCCTCAATTAAGTGATGCACCTGCATCCATTAATCCTCTTTACTAATTGAGATTATCAATCATCTAAACCTACTAATGTATAAGGGGGAAAACCAAGAATAAATATTAAAAAAGAAATACTAAAAGAAGAAGATATTACTAATAATATTAATACTCTTACCATGTGGATGTATTGAGAAGAAGAATCACTCATTGTATAGACTTTAAAGAAAGATCTTTAAAAGGGAAGACTACCTTTTTGTTTTATAAAAATGAGAAGAAACTAGACAAGGAAGGAGAAGAAGAATTGAAAAAGAAGCTTAAGGGTATAGGAGAAAGTTGAAGAAAGAGAGGATCAAAGAAAATTGTAAGAAGAGTAGGGTTTTTGGTGAAGAGTTATGACTAGTATATATTTCCTTTTATTTTTAATATAGATATTTGATATCAGGAACCCACTGACTTGATTAATTACGAAATTAAAGCTGTCACTATCAGAACTTATTCATTTTTAGGATTTTAATATGAAATCTCTAATTAAGATAAAAATTTCCATCCATCTCCTACTGACTCATTCATCTATTTAAAAAAGTATGAACTTATTATTATTTAGTGATTCTCAAACAAAAAAAATTTCTTCGATCATATTTTTCGTAAATAGAATTTAAATATTTTGAATTGTTAATTATTGTGACTTATAGAATTTTTATATTATTTTTAAATATGTAATTTTATTTTAAAAAATTTAACTAATCTGTATCCAAATTCACATAAGAAACTTATCAATTTGACCCTCGTACCTTGAAATGGTTCGAACAAATGCTATATTTGAGTCTAAGAGCCTGTTTGGACATAATAATTTTTTTTTTCGAAATTAGTGTTTGACCGAACTTTTGGAATTTTTCAAAAATTTGAAAAACTCCAAAAAGTTATTTTTTAATACACTCATATTACAAACAAAAATTTAAAAAAGATCCAAAATTATATTCATAATCAAATACAATATTAATTTTCAAATATCATTTTTACTCAAATTTCCTTTTTACTTCTTTGAAATTTTACAATTCTTATGTCCAAACGCCGACTAAGATTATGGTCAAAGTTGGGTAGGTTTTTGTAAAGACAAAAGAAAGTTAGGAAAATTATATATTATTCTAAGATAAATACTAGAAATGAATAATTTATTTATTTTCAAGAGTTAGTGGTGAGGTGATGTCATTAGGTTGTGGATGGGGTATTAAGTCCCACGTGGGAAGAGAGAAACGATTGGTTGAATGGAGATTAGGAATGATTATTCTACGTATTTTTCGGCCATGTGTACCAAAGACCACGTGACAAGGTTGGTCCACAAGGATCTGCCCAGCCTCTGATTGGGCCCGCCAGAAAGCCCACACAAGGGCACGTGGAATTGTCTCAGGCACGTTACACATTTGGCAGTTCGGACAAAATAATAATACCGCTAGTCAAATATAAAAAGAATATGTATAAAATATTATATACTAGTAATATCTATAAACGTACGTTGTACGTTAATAATAGAACATAATATTTTAAATATTTATTTATTTGAAAGAACTACAAAATTTAAGTAATGAGAAATTTTGTATATAATAATATAACAACCATCTAAATACCAAAAAATATTATACAGTAACATAATACATAAATTTAAAATAAAAGAATATCACCAGAACTTACATAAATGATCAATTTGGTCATATTAATTAGATAATTATGTATTATAGTTTAATAACATTTAATGTTATGCTATCTTGTCGAACACTTCTTTGTAGACGATGTTTTTTGTGTATATATTTTTTTTAATGCTTTGGTTACTCTGCCATGACCAGAATTCTTGTTGTCGATATTGATATCCCTCTCGAAAGTGCAACATACAGTTGTTCGTGAAAAAAAATATATTGCAGTAAATATAATCCAATATTTAGGATGTTTGTCCTTGTACTTTATTTATTATAATTGCAACACATAAACATACTGAAAATTATTTTCATACAAATTTAAAAGGATATTCTTTAGTTTCGAAAGACGAAAGTTGAATTCGAGGATAAACACATACTCAGAAGCACATTGACCAGTATCATAATTTCTGCATGTATGACATTATTGTCAAATTTTTATATATCATCTGTGTGCTATTACATAAGCTATTCGGCATATCTAAGTTTTTCAGTAGTATGACGGGCATATTTTTCTTCAAAATCAAACTATTTGCAACGAAAAATTAATTTTTAACTTAGTCTATTATATATACGATGATACTAACATGCGTAAGAAATGAACTTAACAACAAACTTGTATGGTAGAAGGCCATTTGGTGTTAACGTATTTAAGTATTCTTCGAGGTAGTAATTATTGGTATCATATTCTGCTGAGTCAAAAATTAAAAAATAATTTATTTTTACCATAAAACTTAGTAATCAACCTTTTATTTAGTTGATCAACATATTCATTTCTTCTAGCTAAGATAGCTCTTTAATTACTATCATGTAATTTGCGCAAATTGTATTTTAATCTAATGATGGAAATATCCCCCTGATTAAATTCACTACGATTACCATTGGGGTTGATAACCAAATGTTCTGGAAGAATCAAATAATCTTTTATTAGATGGTTTACTTCGTTTTGGAGGCGAAGCAAGAAGCCACTGAATATTGGATCCATTCTTACTTTTATATTTTTTGTCAATTGAATCATTTTCATTTGAGGCCATAAGCATAATTTTTGCAAGCTAGCTCTTACAGTCTCTGCTTTCATCAATTTTGGAACTACTGGTAGTACTTGATAGAAATCACTTCCTAAAACATTACTTTTCCACCAAATATTCATTGATAATATATCTCTAAAATTCCGAGCAATTATTTCGATCATTTGACGCTTAGCCATAAGCGCTTAATTCCATATTAAAATTTTTACTCTCCGTATAAATTTAGCACCGCTTCTATGTTTTAATATATTTGTGATGGTTATTTCAGTTGTTTGAAGAGGTATATCAAATCTAAAGTGAGTTTTACGGCCTCAAAATAAAATCGTTGGTGATACACCACTTGTTATAATTGCTAACAATATCATGCATCTTGATCTGACATTTTCAAGTAATGCATAACATAACAATATTATTTCGATTCTGCCAGAAGAATCTGCACAGGATAATCTCGTTATACCAGAGTCGCCTCTTTATAATATGGTCTTAAAAGCTTATTCATGTTTAGAATTTAGCTTTGATTGTGCTTCCTCAAACACTTGTATGACCTTTTGATTCTTAATATTATACTAACCCTTTTTACTTTGTGTTCTAATTTTTGTAATTATTAACGCTCTTTTTATGGAATAAATTTATGTAATCTTAGATTTTATTTTAACTTGAAAAATAATTTTGCTCATATAATAAATTTAAAAAATAATTGAATTGGATTATCTTGCTAAATAATTAATTGAAAGATTCAATTGTTTGATCTTAACAAAAATAATTTAATTTATGTTGATTCAGATTCTCAATATTAGTTCAACTCTTGTTTTGAATATTTAATCGTAATATAATTTTATCCACCGAATTTTTATTTTTAAAGAGTAAAAAGATCGATCTGACATTCCACTTTTAGATAATTTATGCTTGCAGAATCATTAGTGGTATTGACTCTTACCAACTTTTTTTCTTTGTAACGACCCGACCGGTTGTTTTGAGAATTAACACCCCGATCCCCTATTAACTGCTTTTCCCGTGCCTTTTTCTGCTATTGCGGTTTGCCGGGGTGGTGCGTCTTGAGTTTCGGAGTGTTTTGGGACACTTAGTCCCTAAATAAGAGTTTAAGTCTTAGAATTTGGACCATAGTCGAAGCAGTGTCAAAACGGTTTCGAAATAATATTCCGTCGATTTCGTTAGCTCCATTGTGTGATTTTGGGCTTAGGGTATGTGCGGATTGTGTTTTGGAGGTCCGTAGCTCATTTAGGCTTGAAATGACGAAAGTTGAATTTTTGGAGTTTCAGGTCAATAGTGAAAATTTTGATATCAGGATCGGAATCCGATTCTGGAAGTTGGAATAGGTCCATAGTGTTAAATATGGCTTGTGCGCAAAATTTGGGGTCAATCGGACATGATTTGGTTAGTTTCGGCATCAGATGTAAAACTTTGAAAATTCAAGTTCATTAGTTTTGGATTGGAGGGTGATTCGTGGTTTTAGCGTTGTTTGATGTGATTTGAGGGCTCAACTAAGTTTGAATGATTTTATGGTATGTGTTGGCATGTTTGGTTGAGGTTCTGAGGTCTTCGGGTGAGTTTCAAGTAGTTATTGGATGGGTATAGCTGTTGAAATCAACTATTGGTGTTGCTGGTGTTCAGATGTTGGTATATGAAGTTTGGAGTGCGAACCGCGGAAAAATCTCGCGGTCAGTGGAGGAAGTTCGCGAGGGAGGCAGAATTTCCGCGGTCAGCGGGGATGGCTGGCACGGACAGCAGAAAAAGGGACGCGACCCCAGGAGCCGGAGGCTTTCGAGGCCGCGGTGGAAATTTCGCGGAGAGAGGGGCGCGACGGCGTTGGTTTTTGGCGGTCAACGAGATTCGAATCCGAGGGGTGCACTATAAATACGTGATTCAGGGGTTTATTTCATATTTTGACCTAGAGAGCTTGAGACTTGGCGATTTTTTGAGGGATTTTAAAGAAATTCATTGGGGGTAAGTGATTCTAACTCAGTTTTGGCTAAAATACACAAATATATCGTTGGATTTATCATTTGATTAGAGAATTGGGATGAAAAATTGGGGAAAATTGTAGAAACTTCATAAAATGGATTTTTGAGTTTTGAATGCCGAATCGAAGTCGGATTTGAGTGAAACTGATATGGTTAGTCTTTAATCGAGTGGGTTATCGGATTTTGTGACTATGGTCGGATTTCGAGATGTGGGCCTAGGGAAGATTTTTGGGTGTTTCCTATTTTCTTGACTTAGCTTTTATTTTATTAGCTAAATTAGTTGATTGTAGCTATATTTACGTTATGTAATTGATTTGATTAGAGTTGGGCCACTCAGAGTTGGATACTCGTAGCAAGAGCGTGATATCAAATTGATTTGGAGCTAGTTTGAGGTAAGTGGCCTACCTAACCCTGTGTCGGAAAACTCCCCTTAGGATTTTGGTACTGTTGTTAGATGAATGCCGTGTACATGAGGTGACGAGTGCGTTCACGTGCTAATTGTTTAAAAATCCCGTTTTCATTAAGTAAATATCTATGTTTTTCTTTTAATTGAGCAAATGCTAGTATGTGAAGCCTCATGTTTAGTTTAAGAAAGCATGCTTATGTGACTTAACTATCTTATCTGCTTTAACTGGATTCTGTGTAGCATGTTTAGAGTAGGAATTACCTGCCTATTTA